TTTATTCTCTGTGCTCTGTATATGAATGAAGTGGCAGTAATAACAGTGATATGCACTGAGAGCCACAGCTATAGACATAGTTGGCAATACCTGTGTCAGTGCAGTAGAGTTTCCACTCCAGTGGAGTCGGGTCCAAATAGAAGAGGTGAGCCCCTGCAGGTGGATGGACTGGATGTGCGTGTTCTGGCAAAGAAGGTGATTCTTCTGGGTTCTTTATGTTATCTGCCCTGGTTTCCCAAGAGCCTTCAGTGCTGCTCAGCTGCACATGAAGATGTGAGAAAACAGTTCACATTTAAGCCTCAGGTTTCACTATCTGCATCCTTTATCACAGAGACATTGGTTCCTTTCTGTCTTTTTTTTCAACACAGATGAGTGAGAAACATAATTTAAAGGCCCATGCTAATTTTGCACAAAATATACAGTAAACCTTAGCAAAAACAGACCACCATTACCACTGATGATCTCCACCAAAGAGTAAGATTCTAAATATATTCTCTATAGCAGACACTAATATATTGTGCTCCGAAAGAAAATTATACCTGAGGAATTTACATTCATCTTGTAAACTACTGTAATATTAACTATACGAAAACAAATAAACACGCATAGAGTTCACATATTTATCTGAATGAGAGTGTTATTACAAAAGTTTTATGGACTTAAATTTTATTGGAGTGAGAGTCACTCCATCTGTGGCTCATTAAAAACATGTCTAAGTTCAATGATTTTATTCTTTGAAAGATTTTTTCCACAAAAGTTTTTTAAAACCTTTTTTTCTGTATATTCCAGCATAAATAGGGTATACTTTAACAAAACTCCAGGTTTTGATCAGTTTTGGTTCCCTTCCCTTTTACTCAGTGCTGTAATTATAAAATACAGAAAAGTGTTTCTCTCTCCTGAACAGTCTGATGTAGCATAGACCACAGTGTACGGGGTAAACAACTGCAATGCGGTTGAAATATATGGCTTCTAGATCAGTAGAAAAAGATTGAATTTCACCTGTTCATACCATAAATCAATGGAACATACATTCCATAATTAAACCCACTCTTTAATAATGATCAAAGGAGGAAGCAAGCACATCCAAAATGGACTAAGGATAGTATATTCAATAAATGATGTTGGGAAAACTGCACAGATATGTGCAGAAAAATGAAACTAGATCACCTTCTCACATCCCATTCAAGAATAAATTCAAAATGCATGAAAAAATTAAATGATTTTTGTGGTTTTGTTGGATCCAAAACCACAAAAATCTTAGAAGGAGGCATAGGCAGCAAAATCTCAGATATTGCTCATCAAAATTTCTTATGAGATATATCTCCCCAGCAAGGGAAACAAAAGGGAAAAAAGCATATGGAACTACATCAAACTAAAATGTTTTTGGAAAGTAAAGAAAAACATCAACAAAAAGACACCCACAGAATGGGAGATCATATTTGCCAATGTATTTGAGAAGTGGTTAACATACAAAATTTATAAAGTACTTAGAGAACTCAACACCAAAGAAAGAAAAACAATTAAAAATGTGCAAAGGCAATGAATAGAAACTTCTTTAAAGAGGACATACAGATGACCAATAGACATGTGAAAAGATGCTCAACATCACTAAGCATCAGAGAAATGCAAATTAAAACCACAATGAGATACTATCTCATACCTGTCAGAATGCCTGTCATAAATAAATCAACAAGTAGCAAGTGTTATCAAGGATGTGGAGAAAGGGGAACCTTTTGCACTGGTGGTGTGGATGCAGACTGATGAAGAACTGTGGGAAACAGGGTGAAGACACCTCAGAAAGTTAGAAATAGGTCTATCTTTTGACTCAGAGATTCCACTTCTGGGATTATATTAGAAGGAACCCAAAATGTTCACTCAGAAGAACATAAGCCCTGCTGTGTTCATGGCAGCACTATTTACAGTGGCTAAGATATGGAAGCAGCCCAAGTGTCCATCAGTAGATGAGTGGATAAAACAACTATGGGACATGTACAAAATAGAATTCTTCTCAGCCATAAAAAAGAAGAAAATTTTAACTTTTGGAACACCCTGGATGGACTGGAAAACATTATGCTATTAAAATAAGCCAGTCAGGCAAAGACAAATACCCATATGATTTCACTCACAGGTGGAATTCACTGAACAAACTGAATGAACAGGGAAAACACAGACAGAGTGATAGATGGCGAGTAGATGACAGCCAGTCAGGGGTGATGGGTTTAGGGAGTGGAGGGCCTGGGCAAAAAGGAGAAAGGACTCCTTGACAACAGTGTGGTGATTGATTGCAGACAGTGAGGCTGGTACAAGGCCACTAAATGGTAATGGAAAAAATATAATGAAGTTTAAATTTTTTAAAAAACATGCTAAAGATTTCAATGGTGAATTTAATTTATTGAAACATATTTGGGTGTACCACATTAGAAATTTTTTTCATTGAGTTCCAGAATGGAGAAATGATTAATGAAAAACTGATTGTGTTATAAAAACAAGCCTTTACAGAGACTACCAAACAATGCATGTAATCCAAGGATAACCCTAGGTAGTCTATGAAAAAGGAATCTTTTTACCCTATGCACTGGCTCTATGTTCTTTTTGGTTTTATAATAGTTATTTCTCACTTTTGTTCTGTTCTCCCCAACTGCTATAGTTTTATCCAAACAGCTCACCGGAAAACTCAACACTCAACTTCATTGTGATTGTATTATTATTTGCTTAGACCTTAACTTCTTTTTATTGTGAATTTTTAATCATTTTTTATTGTTATTCTATTACACTTGTCCCAATTTTCCCCCTTAGCCCTCTTCCACCAATCCTCCCCCTACGTACAGTCATTTCCTACACTGTTATCCATGTCCATGGGTCATTCATACATGTTTTTTGTCTAGTTCCTTTCCCTTCTTTCCACCATTATCTTTGTACCACCTCTCCTAGGTTACTTTCCATTTGTTCAATGTTTGCATGCCTCTATTTCTATTTTGTTCATTAGTTTATTGTGTTCATTAGATTTGTCTTATAGGTGTGTTCATTAAATTTGTCATATATGATCATATGGTATGTGCACTTCACTGACTAGCTTATTTCACTCAGCATAATCTTCTCCAGTTCTCCATCCATGCTGCCAGACCAGATAGGAGTTCCTTTCATCTTCCTGCTGGGTAGTATTCCATTGTCTAAAACCACGACAGTTTTTTGATCCACTCATTTACTGATGGGTACTTAGGCTATAGTCAGCATTTTCTTATAAATAGCACCACTGTGAACATAGGGATGCATAAGTTGTTTTGAATTCTTGACTTGGGATCCTTGCAGTATATTCCCAACAGCCAAATTGTGGGGTCAAAAGGTGGTTCCATTTTTAGCGTTCTAAGGAAATTCCATACTGTTTTCCACTGGCTGTAGCAGACTGCATTTCCACAAACATTTCACTTGGGTTCCCTTTTCTCCACATCCTAAACAGTACTTGTTGTTTGTTGATTTGTTTATGATGGCCATTCTGACTGGCCTGAGGTGGTATCTCATTGTGATTTTAATTTGATGTCTCTGATGACTAGTGATGTGGTGCATCTTTTCATATGTTGATGGGTGATATGTATGTTCTCCTTGCAAAAGCGTCTATTTAGAGCCTTTGCACATTTTTTGATTGGATTTTTTGTCTTCCTGTTGCTCAGTTGTATGATTTGTTTATATATTTTGGGTATGAAACTGTTCTCCGATGTATCATTGGTAAATATGTTTTCCCATACAGTCAATCACATTTCATTTTAAAAAATTTTTCTATTATTGTTCAATTACAGGTGTTTCCATTTTGCCCCCACTACTCTTCACTGCCTTACTACCCCCCACATCCCATATTCAATCTTCCCCCACCATTGTCTTTGTCTATGGGCTCTTCATACATTCTGTTTCATTTTGATGATGATTTCTTTAGTCAGGCACAAGCTTTTGAGTTTGAGCTTTTGTCCAAATGTTTATATATATATTTTTATTTCCCTTGCCTTATGAGATGGATTGGCAAAAATATTGTTATGGGGAAATCTGAATTTTTCCTGTCTGTCTTTTCCTTTAGGACTTTTATGATATCATTACTTATCTTTAAGCCTTCTACCCATTTTGAGTTTATTCTGGTGTATGGTGTAATTTGTTGGTATAGTTTCATCATTTCTGTATTTACTAGTCCATTTCTCCCAATACCATTTATTGAATACAACTTCTTTACTCCATTGTATGTTCATGTCCCGTTTGTGAAACATTAATTGACCAAAGAGAATTTAGTTTATTTCTGGGTTCTCTATTGTGTTGCATTCGCCTATGTGTCTGTTCTTATGCCAGTACCAGACTGTCTTGATTTCAGTGGCTTTGTAGTATAATTTGATATCAGGTCTTGTTATTCCTCCTACTTTGTTCTTCTTCCTTAAGATTGCTAGCTGCATAATATATCACATAAACAAAATGAAGGACAAAAATTAAATGATCATATCAACAGGTGCTGAGAAAGCACTTGATAAAATCAATCATTTATTTATCAATAAGTGATAAAAACAAGCAGCAAAGTGACAATAGAGGGAGCATACCTCAACATAATAAAAGCCATACAAGTGAAACCTATAGGCAATATCATACTCAATGGGAAAAAACAAAAAGCTTTTACTCTAAAATCAGGAACAGGAAGGTGTATGCTCTCACCATTTTATTAGAAAAGTAAGAATCAGTAGTTTGAACTTGCCAGGGAATATATTTTAGTTGTGGTTCAGATCTCAAATTCATATCTAATTCATGATACTATTCTCTTTCCAGTATTCTCTACTGGTTTTCTCTTAAAAAGCAAAAAGTCTAACAGATATGCATACACACTTCATACAGGAAATACCTTCAGTGAGTGATGGCATTCCTTCCCAGCCCCAATGTGCATACAGTGACTGAAGTGTGCATGATTACTTGCTAAATCTGTGTGAGTTTCAGGAACAGAGCATACAAAACTCTGCTTCCCAATATCTGTCAGAAGCACTCACACTCTTTTTCTCCATCACCCTGTGCTCATACTCATGGTAATTTGACAGGGCCGAAGTGCAGGGTCTGGTGTATCTCATTGTGATGTACCCACTATTCCAGCTTTATCACATGCAGAAGCTAGAATACTGGTAGTCCTTTAAAAAAAAACAGGATATTCTGAAGTGATATAGAGATACTAGGACTTCCAAGAAGCTGAGTTATTAGAAAGTAAATTTTCTGCACTTGTCTTCTGTGGTTGCTTTTTTGTTCTCATTATTAGGTAGCATGACCAGCATTCTTCTTTCCACAAACATGGTATGTGGAGCCAGAACAGTCAGAAACATTCTTCTTCCTTGCTGCTATCATCACACACCTTCCAACCTTTGTCTGTTGCCTGTTGCTTAACACAGAATAGAAACATATAGATGAAGTAAAATATTCATTTACTATTTCAGACACAGTTAAGTGATATTGTGCCACAGTTATGGTGGTAGGTTTTTCCTAATTTATAGAACCTGTCCCTTGGAGCTCTAGGTTTTCTTGAAGAATAACTTGTGAAGGATATAAGCATAAAGTTGAAAAACTCCATCTCTCCATGTGCTCATTAATGATGTTAAGTGCTATTGTTGTGTGTGTGTACATGTGTATGTATACATACGTGTATGTATACATTCCTATATAGGTATGGATGGATTTTTCCTATACACTTTCAGGAATATAAACCAGAATCTATGATTATAGACCTTCTTACTTTGTTTTTATTCTAGAGACTTACTTTGTGATAAAGAACAGTGAGGTTAATGAGGGTGCTGAGTTATCTTCCCATGTCCCAAAATTGTTGGCTCCTTTACGGGTCAATCCAATCCAAGAGTAATAGGACTTAGAGGACAGTTGGCTTTGAGTGAACTTCTGTCACAAAGGAAACATATTCTATGAGTAAAAATCTTTTTATGCTATTTTTGTGAATAACTAAAAGTATAGAGATCAACTACCTGCTGATTGCATTCCGATCATAAAATAATGTAATCTCAGTGTTCGATACTTTATTACATTGCTTAACACAGAATAGAAACACATAGGTGATGTAAAATGTTCACTTACTAAATATTAAAAATAAAGACATATTTGAGAAAACAAACCACTCAGTTTAGCCATGTTTGTTGAGACTTATGATTGATCTCTTCCTTTTGAAACTTATTTGTGTAACTCAAAGATAAGTGCTGATCAAAGCCTGATTTCTACTTTGGGCTCTGGGTGTTAAATTTATGAAATTACTAGTAAGGTTGCTCTCTGTTTTTGCTCCACAAGGACTCTGGTTATTTCCTGCAAAATGAGCATCTTGAGGAAACACCTCTTACTCATCAGATGAGGTGTGTGTATATAATGGAGGGCTGTAAGTTATTTGATAAGTAAAAAAGTAAATGATGTTTATCTTGCACTTTCATTTTTACAGAGCATATGTGCATATATTCTCTCACTTGATCTTCCTAAATATGGTGGAAAGAAAATACACCCAGTTTTATTTTTGTTTCCCACATTTTTGAGAAGATGGCAAAAGCTTAGTTCCCCTGCCAGGGGGAGGAAACACATATTTTTTTTTCTGTGTCTAGACCCAGAAGAAAATTCATATATGAGTCTTGACATAAAATTTAGCATTCAGTGTCAGGGTTTTCACAAGTGTCTTTATTTAACTATTAATTAAGCTACTCTGGAGGGAAATTGGGACCCCTAGACTCTGAAACTCATTCTTGCAACTCTGTATATTCATGGAACCCCAAGTTAAGATTTCTTTTGTAAAATGATGCATTAACAGTGGAAAATCAATAAAATGGTTAATGGATACAGTATCTTTTGGAATGCTATTTTGAAATTCTGTAAGTCTATAAAAAGGTTGAGGGTAAACAATCGAGTTAAAGTATAGACTTTCTTAAAAACCCAAAGTTCCATGGGCAAAACTTTTCACTTTGCTAATGTTTTTGTAGCAATTCATGGTGGTATGAGTATAGTTAAGTAAATATTTCTGAAAATCTGGTCTTTACCCTTTTAAATCCTATAGTTCTTATTCAAGAAAACTATACACATTTTTCTCACTAAAATGTCATGATTTATTTTTGTAAAACAGATAGATATCAAGATATCACATTAGCTCCTTTACCTCATCAATATTCAACATTTTCATGTAACTTCTTTACCTTGTTAGTAATAAATAAGACATCTAAAATTTATTCTATCATTGACAATTGCAATTTTCTGTTTTTAGAAAATAACATATGAGATTATATTAATTTGAAGTATACAACATAATGATTTGCTCTTAGTATGTGTTCAAAATGATCAGTACATTAAATCTAGTTAACTTCCATGATCATACATGTAGTTTTCTGTTGGAGTAAAAAAGAGGTTAATTCAGACTTTGTAATTTTTTTCTTTCTGGATTCAAGTTTTTCTTTGTTTTCTTGATGGTTTTCAGTTCCATATATTTTACAGTCGCTTTTGAGTTGTTGAAAACCAAGTAAGTAGATAATTGGAGTAGTACAGAAAGCAGAGTGATTCTTAATGTCAGTTATTGTATAGTTTAGGGAATATTAAAAATTATTTTTAACCTGGAATGTTAGGATACATTAATTTTTTGCAATTTTAACAGTAAATTTGGTGTGGTTTTCTTTGCAAATTCAAAGTAAATTCAAAGCAAGGGAGAATGATAAAATTCATGAAATATTCAGTTTAGTTTTATTTGGAAGCTAATATGAATTAAAATTTAATATGATTTAGAAACAATTGATCTTCAACTTCAATTCATACAGTTTTACTTTTGACCTCTAGCTCAGTGGCAGTGCTATACTTCTAGATTTTGTGGGTGGTATAAAGATTTTTTTCAGGGAGGCTGAAGGCCCATTTTTATAAAATAATCAATATAAGATATGCAATTAACCTTAATAAAAATATATTGTAAGGATACACTTGTCCTCACTGGTTTATGTTTGACTTTACACTAGCAATCTTGTGGAAATTTTAATTGTGAATGGATTAGGTGAATTAAATAAAATTCACATTTAATTTTCATTTGTATTTCTGACTGTAGCATGAGCACTGTCTGAATTTGAGTCACTTTACAATGTAGCAGTGCAGAGAAACTCAAGTATTCTGGAGCATAATATTTAGCCAATAATGGCTAGATAAAATAATGGCTAGATAAATTCTGTATGGTGTGAGCTGGGAAACTGAAAATAGACAGCCCTGACTGCTGTGGCTCAGTAGTTTGGGCATCACTCCTCAAACTACAAGTTCACTAGTTCAATTCCCTGTCAGGGTGGAAACCTGGGCTGTGGGACAGGTGTCTGGTTGGATGTAAATGAGAGGCAGCTGATCAATATTTGTCCCACACATCCATGTTTCTCTCTCTCTCTGCCTTCCATATCCTCTCTCTAATAATTAAATAAAATCTTAAAAATGAACAGAAAATATACATTACCAATTCTTTTTCATCTTCTATCTTAAGAAGTGTGGTATAAAATTTCTTGCAGAACTTTCTACTCTCTTCATAGGTTTTCAATTCACATGAAAAATAATAACACTTCTCTCCACTGCATAATCGTTTCTTCTCCCATGTGCTGTTCTTACTTCTTTGAAAAGCAATGATATTTATCAGACTACTCAGTGTGTATCCTGAAAGATAGGTGTGAGGATAAGACACTGAAAAATCCTTCCTAGTTCTAAAGCCTTTTCTTTAATGAGATTGATAGTGTTCACTTCAATTTTCTAAATAAACTTTCTGGCCTGGGAAGAGTTATGTTACTAAATTTTACACTAATTCTATGCATAATATTTAAACATTTGTCTAAGAAGAATTTCTAAGAAGATTGATATTTTCCCTACAACTTCAACAAAAGGATGCAACAATGAGAAACAACTTCTTTGAATTCTTTAGACTGAGTAAAATGTATAGGTACAGGACAGAGACAGGCTGATCTTATTCCTTGACTGCATACCCATATTAAGAGGTATAATAATGAATAGAAAATCTGATAATGAGGCCTTTGTTTTTAATTTGTTTACTTGTTTTCCTGTAAAAAAGTATTAGTTTTAGAAATGGTAACTACATTGAAAAAAAAACATAATTTGTACAAACAAAAAAAATTAATCTCTGGGAAAGGCAGATTTTTTTCTTGTTCAGAAAAGTACAAATTAAATTTGGATCCCACAATTATTTATGCATAAAAATTCAATTTAAACAAGATACCAGGTGACTGAGGAAAGCAGACAAGAGAGTTATTGGTCTCGGTCTTCAAGTTATTTATCTGCATACCTGTGTGAAGTGGTTCCTCTGTGAAAGTTATGATTTTGAACATGGAATTGTCTTCCTGTGTAATGTTGTCCAGTGGTGGTTTCTCTGGCTGGCATTCCTGATGACCTTGGAAAACTTTACTGGACATCATTAGCTCAAGGAGAACATTATATGGGACTAAATAATAAGTATAGTTTTAATTTTAATATGTTAGTTCATGTTCAGGAGTAAGGACCATTTTTACTTCTGTCCCCTTCAGACATCTCTTCTCTGCATGTGATTTTCTCATTCATATATCATTTATTCAAAAAAAACATTAGGTAATGATAGAACATCTTAGTGGATCTTGGATACAACAATAAAAAATGCAAAGGTTCGGGTTTGAAGAAACTCACTCACTGTGAGGGGAAGACTGTAGGTTAATATATGTCTGGTGACACAAGTAATTTGGTGTTGCTGCAGAACTCAGCAGAGAGACTGGCTGGCAAGGTGAGCTCTAGAATAGTGTGACACACCAGCAAGGCTTCACATTTACAAGCTTTGGTGCATTAAAAGTTAACATCAAGAGAGTGAAGAGATAACCAAAAGGATGGGAGAAAACATTTGAAAATCTATTATCTGATAGAATAATGTACATAATATTATACCCACACCATACAATAGAATATTTTTGGATGTTTAAAAGCAAGGTCATACTGATACATTCCATCATCCAAGAACCATGGAAACATTACATTAATTGAAATAACATATTTTATAAGATGCTCAGAATAGAAAAATTAATGGAGATCGAAGGTAGATTAGTGATTGTTTCAGGCTGCTTAATTTGAAAGGAAACAAGTGCTAATGCATATAGGGTTGCTTTTTACATGAATAAAAATGTTCTATATTGATGACAATTATGACTTTACTATCTGAGTGTATAAAAAGCCATTGAATATTATAATGTAAATAGGGGAATTGTATAGGCAAATTATATGTCAATAAATTTCATACACACACTCAAATCAAAGAGTTTAATTTGCAAACCAGATACATAAGAGTCAAGGCCATGATACAAGTTGGTGCTTTTTAAAAAATATACACAGAGAATTACACGGTATATGACTATAACTGCCTTTAATGAAAGACTTGTTGGTTACTCATTTTTGAGTCACTCACAATGTCTTACATGAGAGGAAATGGCATACAGACATATGTGCTGTGACAGAGAAACTTAGAGAACACAAGGGTAACAGCAAGTGAGCAGGAGTTATTGAAGTTAATTTGGTCATGAGAATTTAAACCTAAAAATATTTGACTGAAAAAGATGAAAATTATGAAAGCAAACATAAGTAATGGAGATTTTACATAATTCAGTAGAAATGTAATATCCCTAGTGATTTCTTGGCATTTTGATACATGGTCAGAGATACTTGGAGAAGAGTATTTTGAAGTCTGTTCACTTTAGGATAATTTAGGAGGCAATTTCAATAGCATAGAGGGAATATACTGTTGTATTGTAGTAGGTCTTTAGAAGAATAAACTATTTACAAAGTAAATTTGAGCTGCAGACTGAAGATTCAGTGGTGAAACCAATGAGGCTTGTCATTTTATTGTAAGAAGGCATCAGAGAGGAGAGTGAAAATTAATGTGCACAGAGCATGATCAACCATCACAAAAACCTGAACAGAGCTTTCCTTGCAATAACCTGAATATGACTCAGTATTTGTGAGTATAGAAGAAGTGAGAAGTTTTCAAGAACTTTGAAATGGCCAAGTGATTGCTTTAGTGGTGAAGGTGGAAGGGTTTCTTGTAGAGAAGTGGTGATTGTAACAATGGAACTAGTAGGAAAGAAATACTAGTAGAGAACTAAGTCCTAAGGGATGAGCTACACAGTTCAGGGTAAAGGGCTGGTTGAACTTACCCATGAGTCCCAAAATTCCAGTTGTTACAAGGAGAAAGAAACAAAAGATTCTAAGGATCACAACAGTGAGACACCAGGTAAATGGGACTGAAGATGCTGCTCAGAGATAAAAGACAGATTGAGTAACTCAGCAAAGACAAGACTGAAATAAAAAGCAAAGTTCAGGGGGGCACTTTTCAGAAATTCAAGACCCTACCTCTTGGATGTGTTCAAACTCGAAATTATCAATAGAGTGTGGTATTGAACAATGTGAAACAACAGTGAGTGGAGAATTAGATGCCTGCATTCTGATCCTTTTTCTCTTTGTTTTGTTTCTCTTAGGGATGCCAGACAGTCTAACTTTACCAAAATTATCCCCTGTATCATCTAAATGATTTATGAGTACAAAGTGGAATATTAGATATATAGACTTGGTGTTAAAACTGCAAATACACTTCTAAAGTGTATCTGTATAAATCACTTTTATTGATCTACTCTCAGAAGATATTTCTTATTTTGGTAATATCAATAGCTTTCCAACATATAACAATTTTCTTTTTGAAGCCTTACTTACTACTGTTATTCAATATTATGATTGACCTCAGCTACTGCATGTGAGAAATTAAAATCACAAACACATATCAAGTAATGTTCATGAAATTCTATTTCTTGCAAGTTTGTAGAATGTTAGTGATATCAGGAGATTCACAATTGTTTCCAAACAAGTTGAAAACAAATAATTTTCCTACCTGAGTTGGTCAGTTATGCACATGCATACACAGCACCCAAACTACATTAATTCCCTGGAATATACTAAATGTGGATTTAATTTTCCACACTGCTTTCTCTGAATGAGTAGAGAAATGAAATACAGGTTTAAAATCCTCATGAAAGTGGGCAGGCTAACTCAGTTACAGTGAGCAGTGGTTTGTGACTAGTGCTAGTTGAATTACATTCACACAGGCAACACAATTACAAGACATGTCAGCTGGGTCCTCTATACAAATTTTACCTTTTCCTTTGGGTGATTTATTCCTTGTTACCCTTGTCTGACTAAAGTTTGAAGTAGATTTGTTCACTCCTGAGTAAGTTATCAACTCTTTTATTTCTGGAGATTGAAAGAGAGATGTGATCATTGCTTTGTATTTACATTATTGTCACAAACAGGGAGGTTATTAACATGAGTGAAAGTGGTTGACTAAGATTTTTTCAAATAAAAGCATCTATGTAACTGGTTTCTTCTGACTAGCTGAAGTCCATCACACAAATCTTTTAAGTGGTAAAATCCTGAGAAGATGTTAGACATAAAGTGTCATGTGCTAACTTATGAAGAAAATCTTTAGCAAAATTATTTAACAAGTAAGAGAAAATAGTAACAGAATTCAATAGGGACTGGGAAAAATACTCAATTTCGTTTTGCATGTGCTTTTTGGAAGGAAGGTTTTTAAAATTTACATATGTGGTATTTTTTTGATTCATCTCTGAAAAATTTTGTGGTGTAATTCTAAAAGACACAAAATTGATTGTTTTTTAAATTAGTTTTCAGTTTCTGTCATTTCTAGGTTGTCCATGTATAATTAAAATTGTCATTTCATAGCATTTAACTACTGATGAATGATTTTACTTTTGCAATATCTTTTCCAAGAGAGATTTTTGCCTTAGATAATTTTCTTTCCCCTTCTCAACATTATCATTTACCATTTTTCTTCCCATACTTGGGTATTGTCATTTCACTAAATGTGCCTGAAGTTATCCAAATATAATATTTAATTTAATATAACAGGTTAACAATAGTATAGTCAATAAAATATATATAAAACATTAAACAATTTCCCCTATCCCCAAAAATTCCAAGAAGAATTTTATGAGTCATCCATATTTTAAAATTATATTATGTTACATGTTGTTATTAGCAAATATAGCCATGATCTCTCCTAATATTTTCTCTGTTTATATTTATTTTTTATTAATGTCTCAATGACAATTTGATTCCTATAATCTTTTAAGAGATTGTTGTCACCTTTTCCAATGTGGTATTAAGAATGAATGTCTTACAGTTAGGACAGAAGTTGACTGAGCTGTACTCCCATGTGGTGAGTGGTTTATGTCCATAATATTTGAAGGCATAGGCTAAAGTCAACTAATGTTGCTTGAAATAGCAAGTTTACTTGCAAATGTTAAAAATTAATTAATTTGTTTCAAGTATTTTAAATATTATCACAGTAATCAACAAAGACATGTATAAAAATAAAATTCTATTACAGAAGAAAAGTTACATTCTTATTCTTACCAGTTTCTCAGTGTACCATCAACCTCAACACTCTTTGCTTGGTTTTATTTCCTCAAGATTATGCTCCACTTATCTTTTATGATGTGACTAAAATATATAGGCCTCTGTGTGTTCATAATATTCAATATAACATTTGATCATTTATCCAAAGATAACATCTTATAAGGAAACCTGATTTACAGACACACATTTATAATACCTTTAAAATTTTTTTACCAAGTCTGGAATATATCACTAATGTGAACATATATTACAGAAATTAGCAAAGTTCAGAGGCAGATGTTAAATAGAAAAACATCTTACTATATAGATAAGAAAGATCAATAATTAGTTAAATATTTACTTAATTTCTCATATCTTGTCCTCATTGATATGTCCATTTACTCTATTGATGTATTTGGTTAATTCAACAGATATATCAAGAAACTATCAGTTACATTCCATGTTAAACTAAGTAAACTATAGGAGGTAATTCACTTGTAAAGTAATGTTTGAACTTGAGTGGTTAAGCTCATTTGTCTACAAGATTGAAAGTATTCATTATTTTAAAAAAACGGTCTATTCTTTGTGCTCTGTATAGGCAATCAGGTGGCAGTAATAACAGTGATATGCGCTGAGAGCCACAGCTATAGACATAGTTGGCGATACCTGTGTCAGTGCAGTAGAGTTTTCGCTCCAGTGGAGTCTGGTCCTAATAGAAGAGGTGAGCCCCTGCAGGTGGATGGACTGGCTGTGCGTGTTCTGGCAAAGAAGGTGATTCTTCTGGGCTCCCTTTGTTATCTGCCCTTGTTTCCCAAGAGCCTTCAGTGCTGCTCAGCTGCACATGAAGGTGTGAAAAAATAGTGCACATTTAAGCCTCAGGTTTCACTATCTGCATCCTTTATCACAGAGACATTGGTTCCTTTCTGTCTTTTTTTTTCAACAGAGATGAGTGAGAAACATAATTTAAAGGCCCATGCTGATTTTGCACAGAATATAAAGTAAACCTCAGCAAAAGAAGACCACTATTACCACTGATGACCACCACCAAAGAGTGAGATTCTAAATATATTCTCTATAGCAGACACCAAAGTTTTGTGTTCCAAAAGGAAATTACACCTAATGAGTAATTTACATTCATCTTGTATACTACTATAATATTAACTAGTTGAAAATACATAGACACTAACAGAGTGCTCATATTTATCTGAAGGAGAGTTTGATTAATGAAGATTTATGGACTTAAATTGTATTTGAAAGAGAGGAACTCCATCCCTGTTTCTTTAAAAGTACATGTAAATTCATGGTTTTATCCTTTGAAACATTTTTCCTCAAAAGTTTTTTACAGTCTGTTTTTCCATGTATTTCAGTATAAACAGGGTATAGTTTGACAAAACTTCAGGTTTTGATGAGTTTTGGTTCCCTTCCCCTGTACTCAGTACTATAATTATAAAATGCAGAAATATGTTATCTCCCTCCTTAGTAATCTCATGTAGCATAGCCCATGGTGTACTGGGTAGAAAATGACAATGCAGTTGAAATATAAAGAACCTAGTTCACTGGAAAAAGATTGAAAGACTTTCACCTGTTTATACCATAAATGAATGGGCCATATCCCAGAAGTAAACCCACACATTTATAGTCAATTAATGATGTACAGTGGAAGCAAGCACATGCAAAATGGACTGAGGATAGTATATTAAGTAAATGGTGTTGGGAAAATTAGACAGATATGTGCAGAAAAATGAAACTAGATCACCTTTTCATATCTCACTCAAGAATAAATTCAAAATGGTTCAAAAAATTTTTTAGATCCCAAATCACAAAAATCCTAGAAGGAAACACAGGCACCAAAATCTCAGATATTGGTAGTCAAAATTTTTATGAGATATATTTCCTTAAGCAAGGGAAACAAAAAGACAAAAACAGATGGAACTATATCAAACTAAAACGGTTTTGGAAAGCAAAGAAAAACATCAACAAAATAAAAAGACAACCCACAGAATGGGAGATCATATTTGTCATGCATCTGAGAAGAGGTTAATATCCAAAATTTTTAAAGTGCTTACAGAGCTCTCTGCCAAAGAAAAAAAGCAATTAAAAAATGTGCAGAGGACTTGAACAGAAACTTCTTCAAAGAGGACATACAGGTATCCAATAGACATAAGAAAATATGTTCAACATCGCTAATTATCAGAGAAATGGAAATTAAAACCACAGTGAGATACCATCTCACACCTGTCAGAATGACTATCATGAACAAGTCAACAAACAACAAGTGCTATCAAGGATGTGGAGAAAGGGGAACCTTTTGCACTGTTGGTGTAGATGCAGACTGATGCAGCTCTGTGGGAAACAGGGTGAAGACACCTCAGAAAGTTAAAAATGGTTCTGTCTTTTGACCCAGAGATTACACCTCTGGGATTATATCTGAACTCAAGAAGAACATAACCCATGCTGTGTTCACTGCAGCATTATTTACAATGGCCAAGATATGGAAGCAGCCCAAGTGTCCATCAATAGAGTGGATAAAACAA